TGTTTCATTTTCACTGTATTTACAAGTACTGCAGAAATAGAACATGGGAATATTTGTCGACTATTGTTTTATTCTTGGTTTTGGAGTCTGTGTTATATTTGAGACAAAAGAGGCCCATAACTTGCTGTTATTCTTAGCATTTGTTCTCTTTCTTAAAGACCGGCACTTTGTGAGCAGAGAGCTTATATTTTCCCTACTGTGTGCACAATACCAGAGTGGTACCTAGAAGGTTCTCCACATATTTACTGAAAGAAGGAATATATACTTCATGCATAGTGGGTGTTTGGAGCCGACAAGTCTATAGAGAAGGATGACCACGAGACTGGAGAAAAACATATGCTTTAAGACTGGACGTAAACAGGAGTTCAGGAGGTCTTGTCAGAAGTCTACACTGTGGGAAACAAACAGTAATGCTAACTCTGAAGGGAAGAATATAATTGAGGGCATATTTAGAAGTATTGAGAGCATATTTAGAAGTAAGAACCCATGAAGAAATAAAATTAGATAGAACTGTCAGGAAAAGGCAAGAGAGATTTTACTATAATGACTTAGAATAAGATTTATGGTTGCCCCTCTACGTTGTTGTTGTTGTTGGGTTTTTTTTCTTTTTTTTGGTGTTTTGGGATTTTTCTCAATTTTTGGTTTTGATTAAAATCTATTTTTAACACGCTTTTTTACCACCTGAGACTAATTATCATATAAAATATAAAGTTTGTGCAGTAAATATAAAATCAGTGATTTGCTTAGAACTGCGTATTTGTTACAACTAAAAGTAAATTCAAGACTTTACAGTTTAATATCATTATTTACTTTAGATTTGAAGACATGGAAGCTGAGGAATTTGAAATTATCTCTTCAACCCAACTGGATTGAGCAATAGGAAACTGACTAGAAACTACATGTAAAAAGATATTAAACTAATAAAAAAAAGAAGTTTATAAACACAATGTTCCTTGAATTTAAATTTGGAAATTTTAAAATATTTACAGAAGGTTTCACTACCGAGGTAACATATTTCAAAAGTAGGTTCCTTGAATTTCAACATGTGAAGCTCTTGCCTTGGAAGATAAAGAGAGGGGAGTAAGTATACAGGAAATACCCATATATTCCAATAAATTCCAGTATACAGGAAGATTCTTAAAGGTCAGTGTTATGATTAGATCACGGAAAAAATGGAAAAAGAAAGCTCTTACGCTAAATATTCTTTTGTTTAGAATGTATTTAACAGAATGATTTACCAGAAAATGTTTCTTTTTATGGCGAACTCAACAAATAAATGTTTTGAATTGAGTATGGTTGACTTTGTTTCTTACAAAACAAAAGGAGTTGTGGCAGTGACAATTAGCCAATGGGCTTTATTCCTCTCCTTTCCCTCTCTCTCTCCCTCTCTTAATTTTTTTTTCTAAATGAATTTTTAAATACACATATAATTTATATTTACAATGTAACATTATTAGAAGTGAGTACAATAATAGAAATTATTTAGTATACATATACTATATATAGTATATATATTATATATATAATGTTAGTGTATTAGTGTGTATAATACATTATAATCATGCCCTTTGATTTCATGGGTAAGTAAATGAAGGCCAAGAGGAGTTAAGAGAAGGCCAAGAAACAGTGGCAAAAACAATGCCACATCCTAGGTTTTCTGATTGACAGTTGTATGTTTTGTTAAGTTCCTCTCTGCTTTAACCCAATGAGCAGTAATGGTTTTTTCATTTTGCTTTAACCACATAGCAGTAATGGGTTTCTAGCTGAGAAATTATAGGCATCAATTCTTCCTAGGGTCTGGTTAGCTAATTGTATCGGTATTTAAAACATTTTTTCTTCTGCTCCACACAGGTGCTTTCTAGTCTTGTCCTCATCAAACCAGTGTAAGCCTCTCCATTGCTAGTGGGAGAGTGCTTTGTGGGCTCCCAAAATATTCTCCATATAGAGAGATACCTGTCACTGTGTTTTCATATGTCTAGTGATTGGAACACATATTACTCCAACATCTAAACCAACCCAGAGGCATTGAAACACTTATCACCATATCACATGGCTACTTTAAAGGATATACAAACTGGAAGAATAATTTCTGAAAGAAAATATGACTGTATGATAAATTCCTTATAAATAATGATGGAGAGAATATGTGGGGGATTTTAAGTTTTGTATACTTCACAAGGAAAATATATTTTAGCCTCAAGTTATATTTATCAAAATGCTTGTTTATTAAAATATCATAGTTAAACATTGCCTTTTTGGCATATCTTCATCTGTATGTTTACCTCTTTTTTAAAAATTTTTTATTATACTTTAAGTTCTAGGGTGCACGTGCACAATGTGCAGGTTTGTTACACATGTATACATGTGCCCTGTTGGTGTGCTGCACCCATTAACTCGTCATTTACATCAGATATATCTCCTAATGCTATTCCTCTCCCCTCCCCCCTTCCCCTACCCCATGACAGGTGCCCATGTGTGATGTTCCCCACCCTGTGTCCAAGTGATCTCATTGTTAAATTCCCACCTATGAGTGGGAACATGCGGTGTTTGGTTTTCTGTTCTTGTAATAGTTTGCTGAGAATGATGGTTTCCAGCTGTATCCATGTCCCTACAAAGGACACAAACTGATCCTTTTTTATGGCTGCATAGTATTCCATGGTGTATATGTGTCACATTTTCTTAATCGAGTCTGTCATTGATGGACATTTGGGTTGGTTCCAAGTCTTTGATATTGTGAATAGTGCTGCAATAAACATACGTGTGCATGTGTCTTTACAGCAGCATGATTTATAATCCTTGTATATACCCAGTAATGGGATGGCTGGGTCAAATGGTATTTCTAGTTCTAGATCCTTGAGGAATCGCCACACTGTCTTATCTCTTAAATAATATTTTAATTGTACCAGTAATTAATGTAATACAAATAAGAAGGTAATTAATACAATAGTATAGACAAAAAATGTTAAAGCATCTATTTCACAGATTATGACATGAATACACCATGGAAACTACAAAATTGATTGAAATGTGAGCTAAAATCTGATACTCTGGCCATTAAAAGACTCAGAGAAGTCTGAGAGTTACAACACCTAAATCATTTCTGTTACTCTAGCAGTTCAGCACAGTCTATACAGAAAAGAACTGGTGAACACATTCATAAATTCCTTACACCAATACTCATTAAAGAGTTTTCTAATTTGTTTTCATAAAGCAGAGTAGGAAGCATAAAATTTGAGTTGTATATCAAGATGCATATATCTTAAATTTACCAACTTAATTGTCTTCAGTGATTAAAATTTCTAGACTAGTCTTCTCCGCCAAAGAGCCAAATGCCACCAGATGGCAGAGGGAATTCAATGTAATATGACTCAGGTTAATTCAATCAGCTAAATAGTTATTAAGATCTACTCTAAGAGCTTAACACTCTCTCACTGCTCTAAGAGATATGAAGTACAGTTCTTGATGTCAAGGTGTTGATATTTTATGAGATAAAAATAAAAAATAAATAAGAAGTAGCTTGACTATAATGAGAGAGTATATAACGTAATGATAACTCAATTTACCAACATTTATTAGATCATCATAGAGTACTAGATGAAGGGAAATAGATGCAAACGAGCTAACTGCCATGTACAGGAAGAACCAAAGAAAACTATTTATAGTTTCTACAGCCCAGATTTCAATTATTATATTTTTACACAGTTAGTTTCATAAACTAAAAGTTGTCTATGAGAGTAACCTTCACTCCCTATTCCCAGGCTTTCAATCAATGAGATATGTGAAAAGCTTGCTACTCTGTGCTTTCTGGTAAGATTCCTTAGGGTGTTGTTTCTTTTCCTTTTCTTTCTAGTCAATATGATATTTAACCTTTAATATCATCTTTCTCATTTTACCAAATATTTTAAAAGGTCTAAAATGATTGCAATACGACAAAACATATCAGTGTTTCAAAATCAATGAAAATGTTGTCTCAAAAATAGGATTTTTAGAAGAAAAAAGCTTTTGTACAATTTTAATTATTCCAATGAAGATATCACAGTTAAGGTTAATGCAAAAGTTGGCAATGCAGTAATGTAGCCATCATAATTGTGTAGTGTTAACGTGTGATTTATGTTAGTGTACTTAATTTCCTTTTATTTCTTTGACATATTCTTGTAGACTATCTATAAAGGTAATAATATTGGCTATTAAATGAATTTCTTCTTAAGCTCTCAAGTCGACTAAGGCGTTATCTGACTTCAATTAGATTCAGATCGTGTCAAGAAAGAAAATTTGAACTTAATACAACCTAGTGTATAAAAGCATTCATTGGTGCTTTTATGTTAAGCTTCTCATTTCATTCCCGATCACAACTAATTGTCCTCACTAACTTTATAACTCTGTAGAATGAAAACTCTCCTCTGTCCACCTCATATTGCAATAACTAAACTATTTTTACCTGCTTTTCTTCCTATTTGTTTTTCTTTATACAAATGTACCCACAGTGTGGCCTAAGAAAAATAAATAACATTCATACCTAGAATAAATTTTCTTATAATAAGCAACATTTTTGTCCTTGAATCATATTTTGATGACATTTGGTTTCTTGTTCTGTAGAAGATTAAACAACTTTGAAATGTTTTTGCTTCCTCACTGAACTCAATAGCAATGTGAAATATGTATATACACATATGCATTGTCATTTAAATGACCGATTTATATACAGTTTTCTCACTGTCATTGCTTTCTAACCATAAATACTAAAATCGCAGTTTTGAGTACCTCTTTAATTCATAAGTTATTAGCAGAATTAATTTTAATAAATAAATGTATGCATTTATCATGTTATATTCATTCCACAGTTTTTATCACATTAGAATTTGTATTCCGTAAACAAAAATGCTTTAGGGAGATGTAAAGAATCACCTTTATAAAAATGATGGTTTAATGGCCGTCAAATTTTCATCAGTAAAATATATAAAGAGCAAATGTAAATATGTGCCATTTTAACACAGACTTACCTTGCCTACGTATTGATAATCAGATCCTGTATATTCTTCCAGTAGGAAAAACTGATTCCACATCCAACCACGTTTTTGACGATGGAGAATTTTGCCATCACTCCTTGGTACACGTGAACTTAAAATTCTTTGCTGTGGTACAGGCGTCCTTCTGAACATTATTTCCAGAGAGCAGAAATGTGGCAGGCACACCCAGAGTAGAAACAGTAGCAAAAATTGATATGTCATAGTTCACTCCTTGACAAATCCCAACGTAGATGAAGAGAAGTGGTCCTATTTTACCGAGTTGATTTTACTGTGTTTCAACTGGTTTCCAACATTTCATCAATGTTTTGTACATGTTTCCCAAAGCTTCAAACAAACAAACAAAAAAAGTTAGTTGACAACGTTATCATTATTACTTTTCATTTTAAATTTAAAGTGACAATAGTTTGTTAATAACAACCAAAACATTCATTTTCTTTATTTTTCATACGATAATGAATAGTTTTGAGAAATATTACTTGTTTAGCAATATGTCCACAATTTATGAAAATATTGTAAATGTTTATTTCCACCAAATCCTAAAGAAAGGACATTATTAGGCTTTTTTTTTTTTCTTTTGGCACTTTAACAATTTTTAGGAAGTACATTCCTGTATAAACAGGAGATATAGTTCATCTGCATGTCAATTTTTTTCAGAGTAATTTAACACGAATTAAAATTTTGAAAACAAAACTGTGATTTAAATAACCTACAGGAATCATGCCTTCTGTTGTGCAATTTTATATTTTAATGTTTTTAAACAGCGGCATAATTTCTTCAAATTTAATCCTACTCAGAGGTAAAAGTAAAGGCACAAACAAAACAAAACACAACAAACAAACGAGAAAACTAGGAATGCCTTCCTTTGAAGACCTCTCCTCTCTTCCCTGTTAGGTTGGACTGTGGAACACCTAGAGATTCCTTAAGTAGAAAATAATCACTACTACAGTGAACCAATTTGTAGTATAATTAAATCTAGCAGATGGTCTGCTTCTAACTACCTCTACTGCCTGGTCTAGAACTCTATTATACCCGAAGCTGACTATGGTAACAGCCTACTGACTGCTCTCTACACCCTCCCTGCCACTATTTTCTCAACAAAATTTCCTTAGAAATCTATTAAAATTTAAGTCATATCATGTCATTTTTCTTCACAAAACACGTCAGCAGTTTCTCATTCCACTTTGAAAGAAACCAAAGTCCGTCCAATAAGGCTGCACTCAATTTCATGACTACTGGCCACCTCTCTGACCATGTTTCACTTTAACCCTCCACCACATCTCCCTAAAGTGACTCTTCTCCAGCCACAGGGTCCTTCTTGCTTTACCATGTAATACATCTTACATGCTGCCTTCCTTAACCAGCAACTTCCTCCTCGTTCTCTATGCCTAGAATGATTTTCCTGTAGATATTCACCTAGCTAGATCCTCTGTTTCCTTCAGGTATTTCTTAAAAACCATCCCTGAAATTTCATATGTTCCATTATACGACATGTATTTTTATTTATTTATTTATTTATTTATTTATTGACTGTGTACATATTCTGTTTTTCTGCTACAATCCCATGTAGGAAGATAATTTTATTCTTTTCTTCATTACTGCATTCACAATGCCGAAAAAAGAATCTTGTGTATAATAGATGTTCAATAAGCACTTTAAATGTATGAATAAATGAATGAAGGAATTGCAAGTGAATGCAAATATTTGACTACCATTTACCTGCTATATGTTCTTATGCCCAAGCATTTAGGTATAGAAATACATATTTTTGAATTACAATAACTTTTATATTATTCTTCATTTATATTATTGTGAATATACTTATTTTATTTTTTGTATGTGTTGATTGTCTTTTCTTTCCTAATATGTATGGATTTTATTTCAGGATGTGATAAAGTATTTGTTATAAAAAGTGATTTGAGAACCAAAGGGATTGAGTTTCACTTCTCTAATATGGCATTGCATTATAAATACTCTTGCTTTTACATTTATGCTTACATCCACAGTAATTTGTTAGCAATCTCTTTACTTTTTGTTTCATTATTAAGAAGATTTAAAAGTTAATATAAATGTTTCAAAGAAATAAGATTAATAGTGAAGCAGTGTCTCCCTTGAGTGTATTAAATGACAGTGGAGTCGTCCACAATGCTTGAAGACGTACAGCATGATAGATGGAAATTGTATTTCAATATGTCATGTAATACTCTACTTGGAGTTTAGAAATTATCTGATGCATAAAATGGTCTTACATCACAAAGCACTGAAACTCAAATTGATTGGATTCTAAGTAATAGGAACATTTACCAAAATAGGGGCTTTCATATGTATTAGGATGTGCTAGACGGTATTCTCCAGAAATGTACACTATCCCCAAGGGGCAGGGGAGAGTTTGTGTAAGTGAGGGTTTCTGCTTTCTTCTACAAAAGCTTTAAAACTTATTGAAGAAACAGTCATTCTCATGTCATCTCTTTTCTCATTTTGAAAAATTGTCAGCAATTCTATGATGCATTGGTGATCATTTTCAATACAGTTATAACCTTCCCTAGTGTGAAAAGCCTATGCACCAATGTTTCGGAAAAGAGTAGGTGGGGACTATAGCTATAAAGGTTGCTATTGAATAATTGGAACCCCACATAATGCATGAGATCATTTCCTTTGTTATTGTTCAAGTTTCAAATATTTAATGATAAATGTCCTGAAGAATCCCCAGTAAAATGCATTCTTTAATACTGATGCAAGCTAATTAGAAAACATTTAAAATACATTTTACATAAAGACTACTGTATTTGACAAAAACATTGCAAACAATGACATGGTTAAATAAAAATAGAAAATTATATGAAACAAATCTGACATTTAATTTGTCTGCAGTTAGTTCTTCCTAGTTATGTTCAAAGTAACTAGGAGCCTACACAGACATTTCACAATATTGTGACTTTATTATAAATATCACTAATCATCATCCTTCCAGTAGCCTAACTCAAATTACAGAATATCTTGGGCATTTCCATTTAACCAAGTGTACCTTTTACATGGTCAGTCAATATATTGCATTGCTGATTTCCATACCCCCCATGGCTCTCAGCTGTCCTTTTTTTCTGTCAATGTGTCATCACACTATTTTAAATGATCATCATTTCATGCAAACAGCATACAATAACTACTAATAGCCGTTTTCCTTAACCTCAATCTTTCTTATTTAAAATATATCCTACAGGGTGTTAGCTAAATTAATTTTCTAAAACCCACTTCTCCAAGGCTCAAATCAATTAAAATTTTTGAACACGTCTATCACTGGGAAGATTAACATCAAAACATTATATTTCATTTCAGTATCTGGAACCAGGTAAGTTTTAAAACATCATTTTTGCAGTATTTCTAGTTGTTTTAATTTCAAACCTGATATGTAACTTCTTATATGTATAAACTATTTCCCCACTAATATGCAATTCTGAATAATATCCAGGTGATTAGAAATGTATCGAATTTCTCTCAACAGTAAAAAGTAGTATATACAGATGCATCAGTATATGTCTCTTTAATTAACTGATATATTTATAAAAGCCTCTCTAAATATGTTGGACTATTTATGATGAGAAATAAAAGCTAAATTTTAGAATATAAAAATATTACATAAGGGAGCTGTTGTGCTTGCTTGAAATTATTAACAGAATTATAATGAAAGGAATCAGGTGGGTTGAAACTACTGCTAAACTACCTCTCTGACTAAAACTGCTACAATTAATGAAATTCTATAATTTCAGTTTCAGTTAATTTTATTTTCAGAAAATATTTTCAAAACTACATCTTTATTTTAATATAAAAATAATTTAATATGAATATCACATGACCTTTAAGAATTATTAAAACATCCTTTAGCCATTCTGCAATCCCATATTTCCTTTAGACCAGTGCTCCTCCAATTTTAATGTACACTCACAACTCCTGGGTCACTTACTAAATATCTATGTTCTCATTCAGCGGGTCTACTGTGGGGCATAAGATGCAACATTTCTCATACGTTCACCTATAATGCCAATGCAGGCGGACCACGTGCTTTGACTGGCAAAGCTGTAGACCTCCCTCAAACCTAAAATCATCCTCAGAATGTTTTTGTAACTTTTTCCTATTTAGTGCTTCAGTCCCCAGGTACGTAGCCTACTACAATGAGGGGAAAATAAGCTTTACGATGACTGCAGTCAGAAGATCAGAAAATTATTTCTAAATAATCTAAGGCCTTTTTCCATGTTTTTTTTTTTAACCAGAAGAGTTTGTTTGCTTCAAGCTACAGTACATACGATAGCAATTTTTCTCCTAATCATGCTGTAAACTATGTTTTTCTTTATATGTGCATTTTAAAGCATTTGTCTCACTGGGTCCCATTTCATTTTTACAATTACAGGACTTTTATTATTCATCTGAAATACTTATCACAAATATTATTTTCTCTATAACCTGTTAATTTTATTATATAGCCAGCCAAAAACAGCAGATCACAGAATATAATATAATGGGCATTTTGGCACATCTCAATTACTAATTAAGTCTCCACATATCACAGATGATCAATTAAGCTATAATCTATTCTTGGTTAATAAAAGGAATTAGTCCTTCTTCAGTCAATTTATTATGTTGATTAGGAACCTAATTACCAGCTTTTAAAATATATACATATTATTTATAAGAGTAATCGAAAATGCTAAAGATTATAGATATAAAAGTCCCTGTAAATGGACAATTTTAATCCTTTTAAAGTTTCATAGAACGAATACAGCCTAATAACATTTCAATGCTGAGAAATAAAGGAACATTTTTCAGATGTGTTTATACAATTAAAATGAGTCAGTGCATACTAAATACTTCCTTTTCATTCAGCCGATACCATTTTATGCATCTAGTATAAAACACCATGTGAGATAATTGAATCAAAGCATTACACTAAGGACTCAAATAATATGAGTCCATATGCTTGATCATATTATCCAAGAGTTCATTACACATTACCTACTGTGCTCCATTGTCATAGAAAATGTATAATTCTACATTGAATATTTATCACTCTATTTTAAGTATTCTGCATATGTATTTCTGTTTAGACTGTAAGTTTGAGGCAGGGTTTTATGTCTTCCATGCAAAACTAGTAATATAGAGATTAATACAAAGTGTTAAATAAGTATTTTTAAATCAAATTGAATATTATAATTCTTTCTAAAACATTTCAATAAGAAAGAAACTTGCCTTGTTTTTCTTAACAAAAAAGGTCAAGGACCATTTTATGCCTGTATCTTATTTGTATTTAACATGACAGAACTCACATAAGACGTT